GTTAGTTCTTACAAACATTCGCTATCTGATACATACAATGACCGTTCACTCACTCAATCCTTCTCTCTTGACTTAGTTTCTGCGGAAACCACACGGAAAGATCCGACGGCCAATGGATTCCTTGTCCGATCGACCCTTCTCAGTAATCTCTTCAATCTGAATGTTTTGCGTTTATGCTTTGTTATTTATTTATCATTTGCATAAACAAATGTTATGTATATTTTCCTGTTATGCAGCTCTGTGCTAGAAGAGAATCTTGAAAGTCACCTAAAGAGGTGTCCACTTCTGAAGCAAACACAATCTTTGTCTCTCCAGCCTTTCTATGAAAAGGGCATCAATGCTGGTACAGACAGTAGTACTATTGGAGTGTCCAATATTACATCTGAAATGAAGAGAAATGCTGTTTATGCCATGACTGTTGCTGAATTCTCCAAATTAATCAGTAAAATCAAGTGCATTCATGCTTCCATTTGCACTCGCATTCCTGATTCTTTCAAGAATCCACAAGCTTGTGGCATTTGGACCAATCGACAAGTGGACCGGTTTTCAATAATCATATATTTCTTTTTTATAAAAATTCCTAGTTTGTGTGTTGTATATATTTTCTCTTAGCAATTAAATCCTGTTTTCGTGCAGCAAGTTGCCATTTGAAGAAAAGCATGTTTTGCAGCAGGCATCCATCCTAGGGAATCTTGAAGAGTTTGGAGTTCTGAAGGATTCTAGTGCTCTCCCTACAGTTGTTGAATTTGGTGCTGGAAGGGGGTATTTGACACAAGTATTGACAGATTGTTATGGATTTAAGAAGGTCTTGTTGGTTGAGCGCAAGTCGTACAAGCTTAAGGTTAGAGCAAAATGTTATGATTCTTGGTTCATCTGTAGTCATTATAAATGAGCTCAGTTGTTTCTTCTTTTCGTTTTTTTTTTTTTTTCCTTCTATTTTAGGTTAATGATTATGTTAACCGTACTTTCAGGCTGATAGGAGTTTGCGACAGAAAGAGGGGTTAACATTGGAGCGGTTGAGAATTGACAGTAAGATTAATTGCTTTCCCCATCTTTTAATCTCCCTCATTATAGTGTACCACTAATTATTGGTGCTTAAATGCAGTGGAAATCATCCTAAGCTTTTTCGTGTTCCTTTTTTAAATTTTAAACTTTATCAAAAGACTTTTAATCCACCGGTATTTGTCAATCCCTAAAATGTCATGGAGCCATTGCCCACTGGGGAACCTTTTTGGGAACAAAGTAAGACAGGATTCTATCGTTCTGTTCATACATTTGTTATCAGTCCTAAAATTAAACAGCTATCTATACAAGGTTTTCTTTCTGATCATTTCATATAAAATCAGAATTTTGATGTGATAAGGAGCTGTCCGAAACACATAGCTCATACATATTGGTTGACTTTCATTTGAAAATTAGTTCGCACATTCGGATTCTACTGCTGAGTCTTTTGTAGTGTATACTGTTAAAAATGGCAATATATTCTTTTTACATATACTTCATGGATTCTTCACCGTGATCAATTCAAAATATTCAACTTGCAGTTGAGGACCTAAAGTTAAAAGCTGTTGAATCTTTACGAGGAGCACCTTATTTGGCAATTGGCAAACATCTTTGTGGGCCTGCAACAGGTAGCATTGATGGTTTTTGCTTCCTTTTTTTTCCAATTTTTTTCTTGGATGAGTTACAAGTGAGCTTAATATGTCATGTTTTAACATGCCATTTGCCCTGACTTTTCATTTCACTCAGATTTACCCATTATTCTCCTCATATGAGCTCTAATGACTAGTGGAATAAAACCTTTGTTGCTGCAGATATGACATTAAGGTGTTGCACGAAGGACCAATGTGAGGGTCAAGCTATTCTTGATTCACCTGAATCCAGTTGCTATCTCACTGGCTTAGCTATTGCTACATGTTGCCATCATCTTTGCCAATGGAGGCACTATATAAGTAACTTATTTATTCATCCTACTACTAAACTCTCTGCCCATGACATATCAATTTCACTTTGAATAATTTTGAATTTTTGCTTGGGTATCCTCTTCCCCGTTCTATTAGACTATTAGCATTCTGGTTTTAGATATATATCACTATGTGTGTGCGTGTCAGTGTGTGTATTGTTGTATGCTAAGCTTCTAAATATTATTCATCCTAACAGATACAGAATATATGTTGAATTTGGGTATTAGCATGGAAGACTTCCACGCAGTAACATGGTTTACCAGTTGGGCTGTTGATGCAGATCATACTTCAGATCTCAACGGTTCTGATTGCACTACAGACCTACAAATCAGGTATTATATAATAAAATACCATTTTCTAACAATATAGTGATCTCAATTGCTTCGTATATAATAGTACCACTACTTACATATGGATGTCAATCAGGCTAACCCCTTCGGTTTCGGGCTAGCCCTATCCGGCTGTCGGGCTTATCGATTCGGGCTAATCGTTTTTTTTTTTCCTTGTTCGGGTTTAAAATTCTTGGCCCTAATCCTAAAACCTTGGGCTTATTTCTTGGCTCTAACCCTAAAATTATTTGGGTTTATCGGGTCAGTCCATCGGTTTTGGCCTAAGATTGACATCCTTATACTTACATGGCAGCTGGGAGACTTAGAATGTAGTTTCAATGGTTACATATTTCTTATATTTGCACTTGGTACTAATCCTCTTCTGTTTCTCGCAATGTTGTGTTAGCGAGATGGAATCATGTGAATTAGATGGAGATGTGGATCCAAAGGGAGTTGAAGGCGTCATAAGGAATATGAAGGGCGTGGATAGGGCGGCTTTGGGGTTCATGTGCAAAGATATAATTGATGCTGGGAGGATGGCTTGGCTCAAGGAAGTTGGACTTGAATGCCAGCTTGTTAAGTATGTTCCCTCCACCATCTCTCCTGAAAACCATTTGTTGGTTGCCAGGCAAAAGTGCTAAACCCTATCATCTCACTACCTTATTTTTGTTTCCTAGACACATACATACTTAATTGAATACTAAAACTGTATATTGGCTGTGCCTTGCATTGTCCTGCAAGAAAGCTATGGATTTTTTTTACTAATACAAAATGCGCATGACTTGTTGTCACTCATACGAGAAGGTTTAACTTCTGCCCGCACAGACTTAGCTCAATAGTTCAGTAGGTAGTAGTTGGGATAAGAGATTAAGGTTCGAACTTCGGCAGCGACAGTGTGAGGATTATGCCCAAAGTGGACAGATTCCTTATGCGCACCGGCATTTGGTCCTGTCTGTTGAGCCATTGAGTCACAGTGATTTATATTCTCCTAAATGCTCTGTCGAGCCACGGTGTGGGGGGCCCTTGGGATTGCGGATTCAACATTTTGGAGTAAACTTTTGGAGTAACAATGACATTTTTATTTTTGGAGTAAATTTTTGTGTATTAAAAATTTCATATTTAATGCATGGATAATGACATTTTTATTTTTTATTTTATACGGAGTAATTTTTTCTCCCTCATTTTTGATTCCATTCTTCAAAAGTAAAGTATCAAAACTCATAGCAAGGTGCAAAAGTCCCTAACCAAACACACCCTAAGTTCCTGCTAAGATTATTATTTATTGGAAAAAGTGTCAAATAGGTCACTAAACTTTTACAGATTGTGCAATTGAATCATCGAACAAAAAGTGTGTAATTGGATAATTAAACTCAAAAATTGTACAAATAACATTTTTTACTGGTTACTTCCAAGTTTTCTTTAAATATGATGTTATAATGTCAAATTATATATATACGGCCACCGACGCGAAGGATTCGAGGGTATTGGGCGACGTTTGTTTTGCAATTTCTCTGAGAAGAATGGTGATAAAAAGCATGTACACGGAAACAAAATATATGTGATCTCACTAGATCCAATATATATATATATATATATATATATATATATATATATATATATATATATATATATATATATATATAATTTAAAAAAAATTTAAAAAAAAAACAATTTTTTTTAAAAAAAATTCCAAAAGGTGGTCTACTGTGGATGAAGGGGGAGGCGGCCATGGTTGCCCCCTCCTTCATCCGATCTGAATGAAGGAGGGAGCAACCATGACTACCTCCCCTTCATCCAGATACGTATTTTCATTGTACTCATTACTTTTTCTCATTGACATTTTAGACATTTTGGACATTTTTAAATATACAAGTGGGCAAGTAGCACAGGACTACAAACTATGCTGTAATATACAAAATCAAATATATTGCTACAACCAAGTAGAATACAAAAGATAAAAGTTGCTTGAAAATAAAGAGAACTAATACTTTTAAGAACATGACAAACATATAAGAGAAGAAATAATGTCTCATGAAGATCATATAATGCACAAAAGGAAAATGTGTATGTACTGGCATTCTCATTTTGTGGCTTGCGCAATCATGTAACCTTAGCAAATTTGTTTGCTCATTAGCAGCCTCCATACAAAAAATCCTGCAAGTCGGCAAAGAGGATTCAGTTAAAAAATTACACATTAATGCATCAACAAAACTGAAAAACTAAGAAGCAAACCTGTGCAGATGTGCAGTCATGGCTGCCTCCATCTTCTTTTGAAATTTTTAAAAAAATATATTATTTTTTCTTTTAATTTTTAAAATATTTTTTATATAGAATTTGACATTATAATATCATATTTAAGGAAAACTTAAAAGTAATCTGTAAAAAATATTATTTGCACAATTTTGAGTTTTTAATGATCCAATTACACTTTTTTTATCCGATAGTTCAATTACACAATGTGTAAAAATTCAGTAACCTATTTAACACTTTTTCCTTATTTTTTAAAACCAATTAACCACATTGTTGGAGTGGCTTGGTAGCACTGCAGAATGCAGATTTCATTTTTAACCAATACTCCAAAATCCAAACCTCCAACACTCCCCACTCACCCCTATGAAGCAAATATACATGGGACAGCTAAATTACCATCCCAATATGGCTTATTAATTAGAATTAAAATTGGTTAATTCTCACATGACAAAGAATATGAAACATTGAGACACTCCTCGTAAGTCATGTAATTTCATGTAAAAACCTGTCCAAACAACATTTTGTACCTAAAGCTCCACAGGTTTCTAGTTTCCTCCTAAACTTCAACTCATATTAGTATGATATGGGGTAGCTCTAATTATTTTGGGAAAAAGTACAACTACCCACTGCATCACCTCAATGACTTAAAAGCCTGAAACCATGCATGCACATGGATGGGATGAACGAACTAAACTCCACCTTCAGCTGATTAAAATTGCACAAACAATTACAGACTGAAAATTTTTATTGTTACAAGTGACCATAAAAGGTCTGAAAAGCCAGTTAACATTCTTCTTCATTGCCAAGAGAATCCTCCTTTGGTTACAACTCATCAGCTTTTTAACATTATCCAAGTGCCCATTGCTTGCAACTGCTGCTACAGTACAGATCAGACTATATTCCTGAAAATAATCAGAAAAGGGTAATTGGTTTCGGCAGTACAAAATCAAAATTGCTTGATCAATGCATGAAATGAAGGCGCCTTAACCGCCTTTCTGCATAAGAAATATCAACTCAAAAGTTCTTTCATGCAGGAATATCATGGACACACCAGTTAAATAGGGGAGGATAGCATGGCAAATTGGCAACAAATGGAAGAACTTTCATTTGATGCAGACAACAAAAATCAGATGTGGCCACATTGAATGTCGAAGTTGTAGAGTCAAAAGCTAACAAGAATCATTCAGATGCAAGTTTATGCAGAGTTTCATTTTCTAGAACTATTACAAGACCTTAAAACAAAAAGGTTGTGTAATTCTTCTGACATCTCACATCCCGACACTTGTAAAGATGCCAAAAAGACTATATAGTCGTTTATATAATATCATCTCCCCATTCTCCCGTCTCTCTATGACTACATTTATGCAAAACAAGAGCTGCCCATTTCTTGGACTTGTATGATCCTAAAAACTTACTTTGCATCACAAGGTCTATGCTGAACAATAGTTAAATTGCATATATCCAATTTCATTTCTACAAATTCAAAGTTTTGCAATGGCTCCAGTTTCCAGTTGATTCCTTTTCATGTTTCATCCATTAAGACTATATCATAAGCCAACCATCCTTTAAGAATCCTCAATGTGAGAATCCTACAATAAACACTCACACATATGTTCTTACCTTTTCTGCTTCAGATCTAGTTCAGTTTACGATTTTAAATAAGCTTAAAATGGGCTAATGGCCTGAGTTAACTACAGATTCAAAGCTTTGTTAAATAGAGAGTTTTTCAAGCTCTGCTTTGCCTCTATTCAAGAGTGGTCCTGGAGAAAGTGCTCACTCATTAAATGTTAGGTTTTGCTTATGTTAAAACATATAAGAAACTAAAGGCAATGTTCTGTAGATAGAAATTCCCTCAACCCTACATGATGCAGGGTCAGTATGGGCAGTATGGGTTTACAAAACCCTGTTATTAAAATACAAAAGATGTCTACTTTTTTAAAAAAATATATGTATATTTTTGGCAGAGATTATTCTAAAAATAAGATTATGAAATTACAACAGTTTAGAATTTATTTAAGGCGGGTAACCTAAGCTGATTAGAAATTAAGGATGATCAATAATCGTAAACTATAATGTAAATTCATAATCATAGGCTTCGTCAAATGGGACCAATATAAACAAGTAGCCTTTTGAATCATAATTTTGTTATCAATATATTACCACGTAAATTTTAATTTGAATAATCAGAAGGAAGACAATATGCGTACAGAGTTTGTATTTGCTATCACATGGAATTCAATTACTCAAATTACCAAGTTAATGCAGAAACAAGTGTTAAACAGCACAATTACTCCAAACCGGACTAATTGAATCATGCCTCCATCACTAATCACATGTAAAAAAGAAATTATGTTGTGAATGATGCTAATGTAATATAGTACCTCTTATTCTGCACGAAGAACCTTGCAAGTAAACCTTTCTTGCACAAGTTGATTAATTGCATCCCTCAACTTGAGGTAATCATCAACTGTATTGTAAATTTGATGAGAAATGCGAGCATATCCTGTCACACAACCATTCTCATCCATGGTTCCAAGTGATTCCCCATCTTTTGGTTCCTGGTAATAGATTGGTACTTCCACCCCAAAACGGTCTCTCAAAAGGGTTCTCATATTCGAAGCATCATCATTAGTCAAAATTCCTAAGCTTGCGGGCAAACCAATCATAGCCATGCTAGGGCACATGTCCGGTGGTGCCCCGAGCCTGGTCCCCCAAGCCTTGGCTAACATTTCTGCCATTTCGACAACAGCATCATGATTCCTCTTCCTAATTCCATCAATGCCGCCCTCAAACCTATTAACAAAATCTAACACCTCGGGGAAAACCATCTGTGAGCTGTAGTCTCGTGTTCCAATCCAGGCACTCTCTATGGCCAGTCCATTGCCATATTCATGCGAAACCACTGGATGATGTAACTCGGAAGATGTAGTCGATTTTTGACAGTACAAAAAGGACAACGAGGGCGGGCAGAAGAACCATTTGTGTAAGTTGCTAACATAATAATCGGCCCCGATTTCCTTAACATTCACATGAACACTGCCTATTGCATGAGCAGCATCAACAAACACCTGTTCCACACCTTCTTCCCTGCAAATTTTGACCAATTCGCGCACCGGAATGACAACTGCAGGCATTGATGTAATGTGATCAATTATGGCTAACCTAATTTTCCTACCATTAGCTTTGCCCCTGGCCAAGCCCCGACGAAACTCAGCGATGATTTCTTCATTGGAACTAACTGGAAATGGGAGCTGGACAACGATAACAGATCCACCCGCGCGGGTCACGTATGCCTCGATTGATTTCTTCACGGCTTGAAACGCACAGTGGAGCATCACAACGGCGTCGCCTTTCTGGAATCGGCCCTCGGCGAAGGCCCAGCCGACGTGTTGGAGGACGATGGCGGCGGCAGTTGTGGCGTTATCGACAAGGGACACCTCCTCGACGTGGTCGGCATTTATGAGCGTCTTGATTAGGTTGCGGGAATGGAGGATACGCTTCTGAAGGTGGTTGAAGAAGAAGCCATCAGGTTGCTGGAGGAAGCGGAGCTGCCACCGCTTCTGGGCGGCGATGATGGAGGACGGGCAGCACCCGAAGCTGCCGTTGTTAATTCGAGCGATGCCGGGTTGATGGTGGGAGAACTCTTGCCGGATTTCGGATTCTGAAATGAAAGAAAGCTTTTGTTTTTTGAACAAATGGTTATCGTCGTCGTCGTCGTGGTTGTTATTGTGGTCGTTGCCGTTGGTGCTGATATCTTCACGAGGAGCATCCATGGCGGAAGGGAAGGTCCCGATTTCCGGTTGGGGTTAGGGTTTGGGTTCTGGTTAATTTTATCCAACTTTTTAACGAAATTTTATCGAAGTATTGCATGCGTCAGCAATGGATTGTCCAAACTGATTTTATGCTATTAAATTGCTACGTATTAACTATTCAGTAGCTAATTGCCTAATTAGCATACTAATTAATAATTACTATCTTAGCATATTTTAAAGTTGTAAAATTTTACTTGTTTCAAATTTAAAAAAAAAAAAAATTACTCTAATTTGTCCACATAGTAGTTAGTAGTTACCATATGTAAATTTATTCTTATTAATTTTATTACATTATTGATTATTAATTTCTTCATTTTCTTATAATAATTATTAAGTGAAGTAGTTAAAAATAAATATATAAACCTATAAAGCTTATTTAGAAAACATAACTTTTTTTTTTTAAGGAGAAAACATAACTTAAATGAGTTGATATATAATTTTTAATATATTTAATATTTTTAAGAGTATGAATTGTGTCAAATTTTAATTTTAATTTTTTGGATTGAGCTCAAAACCTAATCATATTGGACTATTTCAGGCCAAAACATAAAAGAGTCAATGAAAAAATCGACCCAAACCCACACATTCCAGACGTTATGCCATGGAACCGTGTTCACCATTCATGGTGAACACGGTTCCAACGGTGTTAGTACACCATTATCTTTTTTTTTTTTTTTTAAATTAATTGCGTGACTTTTTTTCTTTATTTTCACATTTTGCGGTTTCACTTTAATTTGAGGTGAACAAAGATTTCGGACATTCATAAATTATGAATTCATGCCTGCACATTCACTTTGGAACCATGCCTACACATTCCCGTCCGAAATCACGGACATTCATAAATTATGACCATGCCTGCACATTCACTTTGGAACCATGCCTACACATTCACTTTGGAACCATGAGATTATGAATTTTCTGTTATAAGATTATGAATTTTCTGTTATGAGATTATGAATTTTCAGTTGTGAGATTATGAATTTTCTGTTATGCGATTATGAATTTTCTGTTATGAGATTATGAATTTTCATAAAATTCATAATCTTATAATAGAAAATTCATAATTTGATCAAACGCGCGCCGTTAACTTCACATTCGTGAATTTTTATTTTTTTTTGTGCCTAAAAACGACGTCGTTTTGCCTTGTGTTCACCATTCTCGGTGAACACGATTCCATGGCATAATTTGCGCACACATTCAACACCTCTACTAATAGGTTTGTTATGTATAAGCCCGCAATTTATCATGTTGTAGGTCAACCCACAGGCCAAATCCTTATTTTATATATATATATATATATATATATATATATATACTATTAATTTTAAATCTTATAATGTATTTATTATAATTTTCTTTTTATTCTTGTGAAAGAAATTGAGGCCATGTATACATACATACACACATTATACAAGTATGTGACCCTTTTTTTTTTCTCAATTTGGCTTGAACCTTCCTTCATGGTTGGTGTGGTGAAAGGAGGCAAATTATACCCTGGAAACGTGTTCACCGAGAATGGTGAACACAAGGACAAACGACATCGTTTTTAGGTAAAAAATAATAATAATAATAATTCGCGGATGTGGAGTTAACGCCGAGTTGATCAAATTATGAATTTTCTGTTATGATATTATGAATTTTCATAAAATTCATAATCGCATAACAGAAAATTCATAATCGCATAACAGAAAATTCATAATCTCATAACAGAAAATTCATAATCTCATAACTGAAAATTCATAATCTCATGGTTCCAAAGTGAATGTGTAGGCATGGTTCCAAAGTGAATGTGCAGGCATGGATTCATAATTTATAAATGTCCGTGATTTCGGACGAGAATGTGTAGGCATGGTTCTAAAGTGAATGTGCAGGCATGAATTCATAATTTATGAATGTCTGAAATCATTGTTCACCTCAAATTAAAGTGAAACCGCAAAATGAGAAAATGAAGACAAAAAGTCACGCAATTAATTAAGAAAAAAAAAAAAAAAGATAACGGTGTACTAACACCGTTGGAACCGTGTTCACCGTGAATGGTGAACACAGTTCCATGGCATAACGCTCCGTGAAAGGAATTAAGCAAAAAAAATAAAGCATTCTGTTTTTTTTTTTTTTGGGAGAAGAAAAATAAAGCATTTCTTTTCATGCAAGTACGTGAGCATAGTTATAAAAAAAAAACAATAAATAAATAATAAATGAAAGAGCTTGCTCAATTACAGATTCATTTCATAAGAATTAAATGAGCAATGGCCATTAATTGCTTAACCTTAGCTAAATGTCTCCATCGTATTGTGGGTGCAGAAGTAAAATTCCCCCTCGCAATCCAAGAAGGTTGATGGAAATACTACTTTTTAATATTAAAAAAAAAAAATTAAGCACATTTGTCTAACTTGTTGCCCGGCCCACGAGGCTTGCCAACCCACGTGAAGGGCAATTTATATCCTAGTCGTTTTAATTTATTTTTTTTTTGAAATTTCCCGCCCCAGTGAATGACAGTAATTTTTTTTTGAAAAAAAAAATTTCGGTGTTTAAAAATGTACATAATGTTATACTAGAATACACATAATTGTATACATGAATGTACATAATTATATAACAAAATATACATACTCTTTTTAAAAGATAATACACATAATAAACATAAACTTTTAACATAATATACATCAACTCTTAACATAATACACATAAATTTTCTGATTCGGATGTACATAATTATATAAAAAGAATGTACATAATTGTATGAACAAATACACATAATTGTATGAACAAATACACATAATCTCAACAACTTCCTACAACGCCTCCCAAAACGACGTCGTTTTGGGAGGCGCGCGGCGCACAGTGCTATGTGCGCCGTGGTGTAGGGTATAACGACTGCACGTGAACTCGTGAAGTGATGAGTTAGGATTACTTGAATCTTTGTCCGCGAATTTTATAGGTCAGCCCATAAAAGTCCACCAAAATTAAGCCCACAGTGCGACATGTAAAATAGGATGGGCCGACTCAATTTGACAATACTAGACACAGCCCTCAAAAAATAATAATTTGGGGTTACAAAATAAAGAAATAATTCAATCCCAAGTGGCCAACCCTACAACCCAACTTAGTTGGGTTTGACACTTTGACCAATGTGGAAGCAAAGTGTCAATCATTAAGTTAGATATGATATGAGTAAAGCTTATGACATAGTTGAAAAATTCAGGCAAATTATGCTAGGGACCCGTGTCCATATTGAATTGTGGACACGGGCCCAAAACGACGTCGTTTTTAAAAAAAAAACGCGTCATTTAGTTAAAAAAAAAAAAAATTCGCGCGTGTTTTGCCGTTAACGGCGTTATTTTTTTTTTTGATTATGAATGTACAGTTATGCCGTTATGAATGTACAGTTATGCAATTATGAAATTATGAACACAGAGCTCTAACATTATGAACTTACAATTATGAACATATATAGTGATAAAATTATGACCATGGAGCTTTAAAATTGTGAATATAGAGCTTCGAAGATTATGAATGTACAGTTATAGAGTTATGAATCTACAGTTATGGAGTTATGAATCTACAGTTATGAGATTATGAATCTACAGTTATGGAATTATGAATGTACAGTTATTGATCGAATTATGAACAAAGAGCTCTAACATTATGAACTTACAATTATGAACATATAGTGATAAAATTATGAACATAGAGCTCTAAAATTGTGAACATAGAGCTTCGAAAATTATGAATGTACAATTATGGAGTTATGAATGTACAGTTATGAAGTTATGAATGTACAGTTATAGAGTTATGAATGTACAGTTATAGAGTTATGAACGTACAGTTATGGAGTTATGAATGTATAGTTATTAACATATAGTAATAAAATTATGAACATATACTTCTATAACAAAGTGATCTGAAATTAAAAAAAAAAAAAAAGGAGATAACAGTGCCTAACGGCACTGTTACCCGTGTCCAGCAAGCATGCTAGACACGGGTCCAAGGCATAACGATTGAAAAATTCATTCTAAAGGTTATCCTTTTAAAGTTGGGGTTTGTAGAGAAAGGGGGTAAGCTTAATCATGGTTTGTGTGTCATCTGTTCAATATTGCATTCAAGATAAAGGATAGGAAATAGGGCCTATCCAGCTATACTTCCCTAAAGAGGCTTGAGGCTTGAGGCATGGAGATTCTTTCTCACCATATTTATTCATCTTGGTGGCAGAGGGATTAACTGCCATGATCAAGCATTATCTATGAAGCTAAAGGATTGATTCATGGTTTAGATGTGGCAAGGGGGAGCTCCAAGAGTCTCGAATCTGTTGTTTGGTGACGAAAATTTCATATTCTTTAACGCTAACCCAATTGAAAGTCAGGTGTTAAAAGGCGATTTTGAATGAGTATTCAAGTGTTTCTAGTATCTTATAAACTTGGAAAAGTTTTCTATCACCTTTAGCAAAAAATGTTAGCCAATAAATTAGGGTTATTGTGGATAATGTGTTACTAGAGAAGGGAATGTAAGTAATTACTTGGGGTTGCCTTCGCTGGTGGGATGAAATAAAAAGAGAACTTGGGTTTTGTTAATAATATAGTTTTGAGCATAGTAAAGAGCTAGAATCACAAGTTCCTCACAAAAGCTGGCAAAGTGGTGATGAATGCATTTTGGTAGGGAGGTGATGGTGAAGTTCGTAGAGGAATCAAGTGGAAGAAATGGCATTCCATGTGTAGTCCTAAGGATTAGGGAGGTATGAGATTTTGGCTCTGTTTGGCAAAACTAGCTGAAAAGCTATAAGCTAGGAGCTGATAGCTGAAAAGGAGCTGAAAGCTGAAAAGCTATAAGCTTGGAGCTGAAAATTGAAGAGCTGTTAAGCTAGCTGTTATGATTTAAAGTGTTTGGTAAAATTAGCTTTTTGATAAGCTGATAAATGTAAAAAGACTAAAAAGGATATCTTCATAAAATTTAAATTAGTTTGTTTACATATTAAAGTTTAACATTTCGTCTTCCAAAAAAAAAGTAAACACTTTTTAAAATAAAACTATTAGCATGATCATGATCTAGCATCCCATAA